GTGAAATGCTTTTAGTACACTACACTCGTCTCTAACAGGGCCTGCTGTATATAATATAATATATATATTTGCAGACTCAAAAGCATTTCCTTCACCATGAGGATTTACACAATATATTAGTGGCACTCTTACTTTTTGTTACCCTGTGATTTTGCAGTATGCATCACAATTGAAGGCACAATAGGAGTTTGAACAAATTCTTGGTTTCCTATAAAAGTAACAAAATGCCCTGTAACAAAACAAAAAAAAAACAAAACAAAAAAGGTTGCACATGTATAGGTCACATCTCAAGCATGTTTGTGGCAATATGTATAGATATAAAAATATCTAATTTATATGTCTATATATTTTCATTTTTATACATAAAGCTATATATTATTTTATATTTCTATTTATACAAAGAGCTATATGTTCGCTTGAGGTTTTGTGGGGTTTTGCGGGTTTTGTTTGTTGTTGTTGTTGTGTGGGGTTTTTTGTTTTGTTTTTTTTTGTTTTAATTACTTTTTAATTTTGTTTGGAACACTTGGCAGCTAGTGATTGAAAATTATTTTGAGTTTAAAAGCCAGAGAAAAGTTTAAATGACCTTAGAGGGCTAAGTTGTGTACTTGTAAGACCTCCTGTATGATCTCTAGAATTGCTGTTGACAGATAGAGCCTGATTGACTGAAAATCAATGTGATCAGATGTTTTTATGGATTATAGTGGCCTCAGCTAATTACACAAGATTGTCTTTCTAGATCCAAAAGGTTTCAAAGCAAACTCCAGGCAGATGTATGCAGGATTAATCTGCAGACTTGACAGTTTTTCCTAATTATCTTTTATAATAGCAGAAACTGGATCATCTCTGAACTACTAGAACAAGTAAGTTCTGTGTTAGTATCCCAAAGCACAACTGCCTTTACTCTCTATATTTGCCTCCAAGCATTTGTTTTAATGGTTATAAACACATTTCTGCATTTTAGCTCTACTTTCCAGTTTTCTCCAAGTCAGAACCTGCCTGCCTTGGTGTTTTGTCTCTGTGGGAATCAGTGCCTGGTCTGGGGGATTGTTTTTTATAATTTACTTTTATATCTCTCTCAGTCAAAAAAGAGAAAGAAAGAGAAGGGCCCAAAACCAAACTTCTTGTGGGTTCTGTAAAAGTGGGGGGATGAGTCTGTTTTATTTAATTTATATTATTAATCTAATTATATCTATTTATATAAAAATATGTTTTCAGTTAAACAAATAATATATTTAAGGTATGAAATAATTTATAATCAGATTGAATTGCCTTCCCTGACCCCTTTTTGGTTTGTTTTTTCTGTATTCTCAGACACATTATGTGATCCTTGGAGTGTCAGGAGTTGGACTTTGCTTCTCGTGGGTCCCCTACAATTCAGGATGCTCTAAGATTCTATATTATTATTATTTCTGTTTCACTTTGACTGTTAACTAACTTTATCTGTGGCTTGTGACTATATCTGTGCCTGTGAATTGTGTACTCTATCACAACTAAGGTTTTATCATGGTTCTACTTGAGACTAAGAAGAATCCATTCTTTCCAAAGTTATTTGTGACGAACCAGAATAGTGTTTTGGCTGCATTATCAGCATTTGCACGTTTAGGGCATTCTCCAGTCATGTAAGAGCCCAAGGCATAAATCCCTGCTTTGAAGCACTTTTTTCCCTAGACTGAGAACACATTATTGGAAGACATTACCTTAAAAATAACCTTTCCACAAAAGGGTTTCAATTTCCATAATCCAAACTGTCTTTGGAACAACGCCTTGATGGAAAAAGACAAGTTACTTCTTGGTCAAATTCCCTGTCAGCTTTGCCAGTTGTGGCTTTGCCTTTGTTTCTCCTGCTCAGGAGCAGGGTTGAGGATGACAATCTTCATTTGATGGACACCGGATCTCAATGTAAAGGAAGCCAAGAATCAAGGAGGTTTATGAGCCTGAATTAATTTATACAGCTAAAGTTCTTTGAAATCCTGAGCCACAAGAGTCATTGAGATGTAAATTTCTGGAGCCATGACAGACCCCTCGTTTCAGTCAGTGTGAAGTACTCAGAAACACTCACTTCTTTGGCCAGCCCAGTGTGGTAACTCACAGTGTGCACAACTTCATTGGGAAATTATCCCAGACTCCAGAAAATATATGTGTCTTGATACTTGTCATGGGAGATTATGAAATGGAAACAAATAATGTCTTTAATTCAATTTTTTTTCCTTCTTTTTAAAACCATATAAACCAATTATATTTCTGCCAACATTTGACCATGGAGTTGTGATGTCAAACAGAATTGGTACTACATGACTGAGTTAAGAATTTTTTGAGATTTCAGGAAGTACAACCCAGAACGTTCAAACATTCAGTAAGATGAGGGCTCTCAGCCTTAAGGAGTTGCCTCAGCCTGCATTCCTGATCCTTTTTTCTTTTTTAAACTCATTTTTGTTACTTTCATTGTATTTTCACCCTATTTCCAAAACACTACAAGCTCACTTTCCTGGTTGATGTGTACACCCACTCAGTGTTTCTAGCACAGTTCAGTCAGTATTTTTGAGGGTCTATTGATCACACTGAGTTATTTTAATATCCTTGAAAAGTCTTTCCATTTTCTCTGTAACAAGGAAAGGGTAGTGATAAAAAAATACAATAGATGCATCATAACTCAATGAAAACAGTCACTCAATTTCAGAACAGTCAGTATGGCCAGATTGTAATTTAAGGGCAGGCCCACAGCTGAACACACAAATGATTGAACATTTAACCACTGTTAATGGCTACCTTTAGAGATGGAGAAAGTCAAGGGTTTCATTCCTTCTTTCCACTGATTCAAATACAGCATTATTTTGTGTTAAAAATATGGTGAGAATGTCTGTGCCCACTCTGCCCATCCGACCTTGTGACAGTGTCTCAGTGTTGGTATCGTGTGGAGAGGTGCATTTTAGAATCAGACACTGCAAAACACCATGATGACCAAATGGCAGGACCAGGATGCCCAAATTCACCTTGGCTGAGGAATTGCCTGGGCAGAGTACTCCTCAGCAGGCCTGGGGACTCATTAAGAATGAGCTTTTGTTGTTGGTTATAAATCAGTTCCTGGCTCTTGTCATGTCTAAAACTGGAGACAGATTTTAAAGGTGCAGAAGATGGAGCCCCTAGGCTGGATGTGGTGTTGATTTGAAAGAATGATGCTTCTTTCTGGGATGGTGTAAATATTCAGAGAAAAACAGAAAAAGAGAGAAAAAGGTGATTTGGCTTCCTTCTTAGCTGCACACCTGACACGGTGGTGTCAGTGAAACAGAACAAAACCAGAGCTCTGCTGGATGTCTGAAACTCCAGACAGAGCAAGAAGAACTGGCTCTGTCAGAGAGGACCAGGGTCACACCATCAATTGTTGTGTGTGTCAAGCACTGTGAAGAAGGGACCCAGTCCTGCCCTAGGTTGTCCCATCACCACACCATACTTTCTTGTCATGTCTTTTCCATTTTAGACCTTCATCAATTTACTCACATTTGTCTTTGATTCCTTGTAATGCTACTGCTATTCACGTCTTCTTTCCCTGGTGCCTCCCTGACCTGGTATGGGATGTGGGGTAAAAGTAGGGTGTGAGCAGGTATAAACTGGAGAACCTGCAATATCCTTAATGGAATTTGCAACAGCTATGAACCTGGTGCTCCATACTTTATCCCTGATTTATCATTTTTACAACATTTCACTGTGAGAGTTTATGGCAATTTATGTCATTACACAAATTATACAAATTGCCATTAACGGATGTAATGTACTATAAAGAATTGGAAGCATGAAGAAAAAAATTATTTGAATTTTTCTTCTGCATGTTTGCATTGCTTTATAGCTTAATTTATCAATTCAGTTAATTGAAATTTATATCATTAGAAGAAAATGCACTGAGGTGCTTTCTTTCCTCTTCTTTTTGTCTGGTTTTTAAATTATAGTTTCTTCTTTTTTTCTTTTTTTTTTTTCATTGGACCATAATTGCTGAACCTTTTCTCTGTCAAAGGAGATAAGGTGAAAATGACAACCATCATTTCTATCTCTCTCCCCAGAGACTGAACATATCACCTCTGTGTTAAATTTACCTCCACACATCTTTGCTTTAGGCTTGTGAGTTAATCCCAAACAGTCCCTTTAATTCTGAAAATATAACACATTTTGGAAGAGAAAAAAGCAGCCTATTTTAGTTGCTTAATCACTCCTTATATTTTAGACAACTTTCAGTCTCCAAACACAAATTATGTTCTGTCACTGAGTGGTTTATCCCAAAGCTTCCCCTCAAGTTATCAATTGTAAAATTATAGGGTGATATTAATTCTTCATTGCAGATGAACCTGGATTATTATTCACATTCTTTGTGCGATCTGCGTTACTAAAACATGAACCAAAAGGCCAGAAGAGTTGCAAAATCTAATGAGAGGAGGAAATTTACAACAATCTACAGACAATGGCTGTGTAAAGAAAAACAACCTCCATGCAAAAGGCAGGCTCACAGTACTTTCCATACTGCTTTCCCATTACACAGGCTTTCATTTGGAGGATTACAGGAAAGGTGAATTGAAAACATGTAAAGAGAATCTGTTTTTTGTCTTTCATATGTGACCTGTTCTCATACTGAATGAATCTGTGAGCCTGACAGAGAGAAAAAGGAAGAAACAAAAATACCAACTGCATAGCTGAACTCAGGAGATTTTACACGGCCTCAAAAGTAGTTTGGAATCACCCCAGTGCTAACAAAGCTATTTGTTCATATTATTATTACTGTTTTAAGAGCAGCTATAAATGGGACAAAAAGCTTGAAGTCCAGAAGTTACCAGGATTTTAAAAATTTTGCAAAATCCCCTTATATTCTGAGTTGTGCAGTATGTAGAAGTGACAGCCTGATTCATGTCTAGGACAGGAACATTTTCCCTGTGCCTGATTGCAATGGATTTAGCCATATAGACACTTCATGCATTTGTTCTAGGAGTATTGCCTCTTTAAATCACATTAGACTGTTTGCTTCAAAGACTGCCTTTTATGCTCATTAAGCACAGACTATCAATGCACAAAGGCTAAAAGGTTGTTTCCACCTTTGCATGAGGAAAATGTCTCAACACTAGCTGAGCAGGGCAAGCTTGTCCTCTCATGATGGGATTGAAGGCTGTTTCCTGGTGTGAGGATGTTTTTTCCTCCTGTTCCCAGCTCTTTCAGGGTCTTCTGCTTTTAGTACACTTTCTAAACTGCAAATCTTTCTTCTCCTCGAGGGTCATCCACACCACTGGGCTATTGAGCAGGATTCATTCTTGGCTGCATCTCACTGGTCCCATCTTGCATATGGCTTACCCTCGGAGGAGGAAGAGATGTGAGCATCCATCTCTATTTCACACGAGTGCTCTGAGCGATGCAATGCAAGAAGGAACTGCTTCTCCTTGTTTCTAGATAAAAATAAATATATTTGCAGTGCCTGGGAGGTGAACTCAGCTTTGTCAATACATGTTGTACTTATCCAACCATTATCCTCAAGGACTGAAAAACTTTTTGGTGAAAGGTACACATTAGTTTTTGATTCTCAAACATCCAAAGACAGAAAAGGACCCCATGGTATTCAAAACAGCCATGATCGTGGTGCACCTGTTGAATAAGTGTAAAACAAATATGTAAATATTCAAACTTTTTTTGGTTAAAAGTTATGAGCTTGGAGATAACGACACTGCAATTCCTTTCAACTAATTTTAGCCACACAGAAGTTGCTATCTACTTTATAAAGTTATTTGTATAGAATTTAAATTCAGTAGGGAGCTACAGAGAGATTTTTATATATTAGATTATTATCTTTCCCTGGCTTAGGTACTTCAATTTTAGCTAAATAAAATCAGGGGAATATATTTAATTTTAAATGTATATAAGCAAAGGTAAGGTTTTAAGTATTACCTGACACATAATGCTTCAAACCTTTGCCTACAGTAAAACTGAAAGGTTGATTTGGTTTAGAAATTTGCACTTTATTTTCTAATCTCTCAAGTCCAGATCTTTATAAAATCAGTGGGAGACAGGAATCCAAATACAGTGTCCTAGATTTTCAGGTCTTTCATTTATTTTTTTTTATTATTATACAGCCCTCATAAAAAAAAAATCATATAACTCCATCATTATTAGTCTAGGATCCATAAAAAATCAATAAGGTTCTATAGGTCTACTGAAATAGTGAATTAGCTACAGATTAGTTAGCTCCAAACACCTGAGGAACTGAGAAATATTTGTGGAGAAAAATAGGAAGAAAAATAAAACATTAATTGACTTTGACATTCAGAGTCAGTAAAGCATAAATATACTTTCTTATCTATCCTGCTTGTTTTATTTCATTTTGATTTCTGCTCAGCTGACTACGAAGAACACTCTAAGCACAGTGCAAACTCTGTCCAAACAGTAAAAGTTATGGAGCAATGAGCAAAAACGCAAAAGTTAGGGCAAATGTTCAACTGCAAATGCAAAATCTTTTCCTCAAAGGATAAGTAAATTTGATGCAATTGCTTTTATTACTAATTTACTTCACTGCGCTTCAATGTGCACCTAAAATTCATCCATTGAAAATTTAGCCCATATGCACCACAATCAAAAAAATCTCTAGGGAAACGTGATCATATGCTGTGATGACTTCCTAGGGAGCAGCAAAAACAAAGGAAAAATAGGTACTACTATTTCCAGATAGGGAGGGTAAACTTGAGGGGGGAAAAAATTGTGAAAGCGAGTAACTTACAGCAAATTTCTTTACAAAGATAAAAAATATCCTGTAAAATGTGCTGAACAATATTACATAATTAGATCAGACTCATAGAAATTTTCCACTGAAATATTTTATTTCCCTATTGTTTTTCAAGAAACTTGTTATAGTTTCAACTGCTGCAGAATAAACTTTCATGGCAGAGGGAAATTACGCCACCCATATAGCCAGTGACAGAGACGAATTTTCATGAACTCACAAAGTGGGCAGGAAGTTATTTGTCCCATCTAAGGATGTAGGCCAAAGAATTTTGAAGGAAAAAAAAAAAAGAAAATTGGGATTTCTCATTAGATTTTTTTTTTTTTTTTTTTTTTTTTTAGCAGTAGATTAGTGTATAACATCTGCATTTTATCTTTGTCTGCTAACATGACCCGTCTTTGAGAATTTGCTCATAAAACAAGCAAAGGAGGTGTGTGGGAATGAATGCTAAAGATCTCTTGCATATAGAGAGGATCCTGAAGAATAAAAATGAGAGTAAAACATGATGAAATGGAGAAAGCACAAGTAATTTTTTTAATTTTTGCATTCACCTATTTCAGTTTTGTAGACTGCCTTGAGGAAGCCTGGGCCCTGGGATCAGTCAGCTGAGTTTATCCAGCAGCTAGAAGAATTTGTTTCAAACCCGTGTTTCAAACCCGTGTTTCTAGGCCAGCAGCTGCTCCTCTCTTTCTATATTAATATAGCTTTTTTGGGAGGTTGCAATAATTCCAAAATAGGGGGCAAAATAGAAGGTACAGGCAGATGAGGAGAATGAAAATACATTCAGTCAACCCTGCTTTTAAAGCTTTGCTGAAAGTTGTAAGGTTTTAGCCTGGAAGAGAGAGGCAGGGAGGCATATCCACTCTCCCAAGCATCAATAGATTTTTTTTTTTCTTTCACATGACAAGAACCAATACAAACAGTCCTTGGATCCTTCACTGATTTTGTCAAAGGATGTTTTTGTTAGCAGCAATCTTGGAAGCAGTGAAGACAAGGGAACTAAGGCATTTCAGGACATCTTATGGAGTCCCATGATAATAAGGCTTCAGCATTACAGTTCTTAATGACTAGCCATGGGTTTGAAGCTGGTGCCCTGGAGGTGAAGAGCACATTTGCTCAGTCTAAATTTCTTGAATGCAACTGGTAAAACAACATATGTCATAACAATATGATGCTCGGTTCTGGATCTGAGCACAAGGATTTATTATAAAATTGAGTAAATTTTTGCATTCACATAGACTGGCACACCACAGACCAAACTGGAGTGCATTAATGAATAAGTACGTCCCACAGGTTTGTCACCCTCAATCCTTTGACTCCAGTACTGAGTGTGGATAGGTATCCTATTGTTGAAATAAAGCATCTAGAGAGCCAAGAATGCAGACAGTTAGATTTCCTAACATTAATGCATCGATTCAGCTAGTCTGACTTCCACAGTTTTATCCTGTGATCTCTGTCTAGAGCCCCAGAAATAAAGGAAAGGTATAAGTCATCAGAGTATCTCAATAACCTATGCATATCACACAATAATTCAATACTTAAAAGTACTTGCAAAACATTTTTTTACAATATTCTTTGCTAGGCACTTATTAAAGTCTCCCTTGACTTTTTTATTTTTTTAAAAAAAATTCATTTATTTATTTATATTATTTTACTTACATGTTTGTTTTAAATGTGTTTAGGCAAGTGAAACACTGAGTATCCAAAAGCCGGGCCTAAGAGTCCTTGAGGGTGGCACAAGGCAGCTTGTCTCAATCTGTCATTTTTATCTATGAAAGAACAGGTGTATATATATATATATATATATATATATATATCTTTCCACTTGTGGCAGAAATATTGGAGATTTCTAACACGTCTGGATTTTATCTCTGTCAGCAATACTCTGGTGGTAGTCTTTTCAGCTTCACTTCACTGGAGGTTAACCCATCCTTCAAATTAAATACTCTGAGCCTAATTTGGCCCTATGGGGAATTCAGAATGATTCACTTGACACCATCATCTTCTTTCTATCCTCAAAGTAGAAAATAAAGCCTGAAAGAAAGTCAAGTCTTAATAGTACTCCTCACTGTCACCTAACCTGAATGAATCCTTTCTTCCTAAAGCTTCTGGATGATTGTTATTTGCAGTTCTGTCAGAAAGTTAGTGATTCTGAGCTTTTTTGGAAAAAGGGACTTTTTCTGACTCAGGGACCTACCCAATGTGTCAGCTCCTGTCCTGGGCTGACTCCTACATCCTGTGAAATCCTGCAAAAGGAAAGCTATCCATGACCCCAGGCAGAGGAAAGCTAGACTCCCACTGCCACCCCAGCCATTTTCAAGTGCTGATTGAAGAAGTCTCAGTTAATTTCTCAATTAATTAAAAATGAAATTATTTTATGACATTAAGTGGAAAACAATGACAATTTTCTCACTCTTCTCATCCATTTCTTATCAAACTGTGTCTGCCAGAGGAGCAAAGATTATTTTCAGAGGTGCTGTTTTATATTTTATATTTATTTTTATATTTTAGGGCCCTGAGCTTGATATACACTGTCACATTAGATCAAAAATAAAAATAAAGCATATTTCTGAATGGACAGGTTCAGTAAATGTCCATGAGACCACTCAAGTTAGTGAGTGCCACTCTCAGAAGGATGCTATTGACAGAGCAGGTATGAAGGAAGCAATTAATAAAACAGAAGTTGGGTAGGTACAACTAGTTTTCCCTACAGCTCCATACCTGGAGCATCACACATTTTATTCCCTGGATGCTTGCAGGAAACAAACCTGTGAACTAAGAGAGTTTATATCTGAGGCCAACCCTAGACTTAGAAGGTTGCATGAAGCAAGTACCCTGCCAAAGGGAAAAAAAAAAAAAAAAGCCCACAGAAATTAAAAAAGGGGCTATAAATGTGATATTATTTGCAATGGAATAATAACAGGGAACATAAACATGAATCTGGGATATAGTGAGATCTCAGCTCAAGTTTTTGCAGCTTGCCACACAACCATACCATTATCTTAACACATTTAATTATTAATACCTCCATGGTGATGAATCAAAAGGGCTGCATTTGACTGGCACAGGATGGTAAGTGCTTTGAAAGTCATTATCCTAAACACAAAAAGATTTTGAATAATCCTTCAAAATGTCAAGGCACACATCACATCAGCAATTGTTAAATATTTCTTCTGAGGAAGAAGTTAATTTAAAGCACTTTTGATGTTTAATGCCACTCACGACGGCAGCTGAAAATTAACCCTCTGCATTTTCCTCCCCCAGACCTCCTCAGCCTCAGTATAATGTTCTAGGGTGGCAGGATATTTCCAACATATCTTATTAAAAAAAAATCAAGGGCAGCTTTAGGAAGCCTGAAGGATGAAAAACTGAACGAAACTTTTAAATCGATCTGCAGGAAGCAAGAAACTTGGAATATTTTCCTGTCAAATCTATCTATAAAATGGGCCCATTAAAATTCTCCTTTTACTGAAGATGATTCTCCTCCCTGCTGAGTGAATTTCACTGAGGAAATATCAAGCTCCTGGCAGGATGATGCCCCTACTTGTGGGAGGGATAAAGCTGTGTTTGGCAATTTTTGTAGCAATACCTACCCTTTGTTAGGTGGGTAGGAAGGAGGAGAATGTGTGCTGCAATAAACCTGTTTATACAGGTATCTATTGCTGCTAAGAGAAGAAAGTGGTTGAATTTTGTGATAAACACCCAGATAGCCATGAAGTTGTGAGCTGACCATGAGACCAAAGGAAATTTTTTTTAAAAAGACCCAGTAAAGATGTGAAACAAAAAATTTTCTTCCTTACTTCAACATTTTTGTTCTTATTCATTTCTCATTAAAATGGATGGAAGTTTTTCAGTCTTGGGAATAAAATTAATTCTCAGAATGAAATGGAAAGGGGAACTTGTCTGGGTGTTGCTCAGGGTTTGCCTTATCTAGCAAAATCATCACTTTTTAAAACTCACCAAATGTTAAATCAGAAAATGTGCATTTTTGGGATTTTCAGGGATACAAAATGAATCACTGGCATGAACACTTCTTGTCTGCGGCTTTATTCTCCATTATTTTAAAATGTTTTCTTATTTTTCCTTCCGTTTATCTAATCTCTTTATGCCAAGGCTTATCAATGGTCAAAATATTTAGAAACACTGTCAAGAGCAGAATATTTTCCATGATGCCTGGAACTTCTCCTCACCCTAACCTTAATATATCCTTTAAAGAGGTGTTTGGGAGATACTGTAAACAACAGCAAAATAAGGAAACAAGCAAGAAAGGAAACAAACAAACCTTTTAAATTTTATGGTTTGAAATATATGAGAAAAGAAAAGGAACAAAAAAACAGCCAAAAAAATTTAGTCTATTTTCAAGAAAATATGTTCTCCTCAAATTTTGAGAGTAAGTCACTTGATGAAGCCAGACATAATGAAGTATGAAGTCCCAAAAACATAGTGAGATTCATTCTGACCCAAATGCCAAAACAATATTCAGAAATCCTAAATCCTTTTGCCTGAGTAAAATCTGATTGGAAGTCTTTGCTTCTTAGCAAAATTACTAGTCTGGTTGGGTTCGCAGAGTGGCCAGAAGCTATTGACTAGAGAAAATAATCTTTGATAGCAACCAAAAAAAACCCTAAAAAAATACAAGGATAAGTCTCAGTTAGGCTGTCTTGTATCAATGCAGAGGTATTGCTAATTTACCAGAAAAGACTGCTCATTTATCAGAAAGAGAAGGCGGGGGGTCTGTGCATTGAGGAAGAGTATGGTGAAGAAATATGGTGAGGTAGCTGATGTTCTGCAGAGATCTTCTCACCTGTGGTATGATGCTTTCTACTGCAGTGTGAAACCTGTGTTCTTTATATAATCAGCATTTGATGTCAGTGTCAGTCTTTCAAGACTAATTGACTTGGTAACCGAGTGAAACCACCCACCAGCCAGTGAAAGTGTGCAGGCCTCAGGTAGGCCCTCTTGTCTGCCCTGCAGTCCCTGTCATGAAGAGTTAAGCCACGGAAATTAAATCTTCTTGCTGCTGTTCTCTGCTCTTCACATACCCAGCTTATAATAAGCTGACTTTCACTCTCTCTAGCCCAATTAGGCTGCAGAATTTGCATTTGACTTTCCAGGATGACACCAGTATGTCCCGCTAATCCTGGCTCCTGACTTGCTGGTTGTGGCTTCTCTGTAGGAAGGGTTTACCTCAAAGCTGTGGACCTCCAAGACCGTCCTACCACAAGCACAGGTAGAGTACCCCTCTGGTTGTTCAGGATTTCTCTACATAAAAGATATATTTTTTTTTCCTTTCCAGATTACTTTGTTGATAGGAGGAACAGAAGTGAAGTCTCCAATGTAGAGAGCAGTGTCCACCTCCAGTGGAAAGCTGCACTGAATTTATCTCACAAAGTTAGACGTGCTGCATGTAGAAGATTGGAAATATAGAGAAAAAAGATAACACTCTGTTATATCATTACCAGAAGAAATATTTTATGTCAGGCATTAGTAGGCCTTTACCTCACCTGACAGGAAATAAGAAGGGAAATTCTAGGAAAGCTAGGAAAATATTTCATAAGGAGGTCTTTGAGGATTTTATAAAGTATGAATGTTAAATAGGTACATAATATATTTGAATACAAAATACAAATCAACAAAGACTTGCATCTGTGGAAGTTCCACCAGTGTCCTCACTATTAATTTATTTAGCTTTTACTTTCCTTTCAGAGATATTAAAATATTATTTACACACTTTTAGAAGCCCCTCAATGGCCATTTAATTGGCTTAATGAAGTCACAGAAGGAGTGGATGATTAACAAAAAAAATAATATAAGGGATCCTAATTCTAGGCTTAATATTCCTACATTAATCAATACTATCAAATTGGAGACATAATCTGGCACTCTATGGAAAACAAAAGAGCCAAGCAACGTTTATATTTTATGAGTTTTGGAGAGTTTTTTTGCCATGGAAAGGCACTCAGTTTTTAAAGAGGCAGTTTAGGGAGACACTTTATAACCAACAAAGGAAAAGAAATACTAAAAAAAATACTGCTTTGATAATCTTGAATAGTGAAAACCTGCTAAGTTAAGGAAAAAGAAAAACCCCAAGTACAAATTCTTAAACACAAATTGAATGTTTTCTAATTAAACTGCCAGTGATGAAACAAAGCCATACAGGTGAATGTACTGAATTTAATTTTCAAACCCTGCAGACTAGATCACATCTTTTTCACCTCCCAGCCATTGCAAACTGGGCAAGATTCTCAGACAATCGAGAGGGAACATTTAAGAAACCTAGTCCCACTGTAAATGTGTGAGTAGCTGATTTCCCAATAGGTTCTGCTGGATTATGTACTAAATTTATTTAATTGTGATGGAAGACTTCTTTTAATATTCCATTACACAGACAACAGTAGTATTAAGTAGTTAAGTAACATTCTTCATGATAATGTGTCCTTTTTTTGCTTAGGAAAAAAAAAACATACATCAGTGTTTTGCGGTTAGTTTGGTATCCATACTATCCATACTAAAGTCTTTGGCCTTTATGACAAAGATAGAATTGAGTGCCAGGCATTATGGATTTAGGGACTTGAGTTTGGTTGCTCTGAGTGAAGCCACCAGTGTCTTCCACAGGTTTGTCCCTTCAAAAGTCAGGAGAGCTCAATGCAGTTATGAAAATGAAAACTCTGTGTCCTATGAATTCCAAGGAGGGATCCTACCTTCAATTCCATCATCGCCCATTCACAATGTCACCAAGGAGACAAGCTAGAAGGCAGCCCTGTCTAACTGGGCCATATCTGAATCAGCACAATGCCTATTTGGTAAGCAAACCCACAGCACCCTAAAGGATACACCACTCCCAGTAAAGCAGAATTGGCCTCATCAGATTGTCCCTCATGCCTTGGGATCCCCTATAAGAACTTGGGTGCAGACACACAGGCACAAAGCAGGCAAAAGTGGGAGAAGTGTGTGTGCATTACCCACCAAGAAAATTCTAATCTCACCTGTCATTCACAAGGAGGCTGTAATATCCATGGAAATGTGTTGTAGACTTTGCTGCTTTTATTCTGGAAGTGTTTAGTGCATTTACATTTTCTATGAAACTCAATCATCTTTCCAGCTTTTCTTTTTGAACCTTTTATTTTTCCCATTAGTCTGTTAATAATTGTTGCTTTCCTGGCATTCTTGTTCTGTTAGGTTATTATGCATTCCTCAGCATTCTGAAAAATGAAAAATGGAAAAAATCACATGCTTTTCAGCTGACTTAACACTGCGTAAAATGCTGAAATTATTAATTGAACATCTTGATTATAAATTAGGTGGAAATAATGTTGAAGAAGCAGCCCCTAGTCATATAGGGCTTATTATTAGGGCTACATACTGAATGATTTGAATTCTGTTCTAGTAGTGGTAAATATAGTTATTATGGAAGAATGTGAGCTCGTGGATTTTGGCTGAATGTCAGCTGAATCAAGCAGAGTATTTCATCTATAATTTAAAATTACATGTCCTAAAACAATGTCTGTGTTATCTCCTGCTTCCACCCTTCCAAGAGTAACGTGGTTATGATCTTACATGAGATAAGGAAATTATTTCAGCCACTGCAGAATAACTAATTGCCAATAATACTGTTGTCAGCTGTCCCTGTGTGCAGCAGCACCCTACTGTGCTAAGCTCAGTAGACTCACAACACAAAGTTTGCAGTGCATTTATATGATGACTGAGGAATTGCAACAGTTATGGCAGATTTCATCATTAATGCTGGTGATGTTAGATGACCTTATATAGTTTGTTTGGATGCCAGACTCATTAAGTGGAAAGATATTATCCAGACTTCATGGGTGCAGCTTTTACTCCCCAAGCGTATTTAGCAGGGCCAAGGTTTCATGATAAGAGTCGCTCAGTCGATACCATGCAGTTTAATGCTGCCTCATAAGTCATAATTTCTTATCCCCCTGATTTAGCTTAGTGTTACAGATTGTATGGACTGATTGATCTGCTGGACTATCATTTGTGCTTTAGTCTGTGCAACACTGACCTTGGTAGAGTCCCAGGCTGTCCAAGCCATTTAGGCACTACCATAATAGATATGTTAAGCAACAGCTACAATTGTTCTCGTCCATCCAGGTAGGCTTGGAGCTCAAGATCTGCTGCTTGACAAATGTGCTGCTCACCACCACCACAGCACCGTGAGGGAGCCCTATTCATCTTAACAAATAATGCAAAAGTGAAGGTGTATCTGATTTGAGGGAACTGAAAGGTCCATCTATGTTTGTTTGAGGGCTCTAGAGGGTTAGGGGAAGGGTTTGCCTGAGAGGTTAAGAGCTTATCTCTGTCCTAGATTGAAGAAAACTCTTAAATCTGTAAAGCTTTTTCCTTGAGGGTGCAGAAATATGGTGAGACCTTCATTATTTCAAATTTCAGATAACACTATTTCTCACTATTTTCTTCATCTCCTTTCAACTGTAACCTGTTTCTCCTCTCAAATAAGAAAAACATCCTGTGGTAGGTCGCAATCCTGAGCTGTCACCTGGTAATCTGTTTTAATTTCCTGGCTCTTGTTGTTCATCTGAGAGTTCTAGACTCAGTTATGTAAGTTGTTTGCTGGAAGCAAGTCACAAGGAGAGGAGGAGGGGTTTTTATACCTGTGAAGGACACTCTGTACCCCCCTGGGTTGCTCCTCGTAACCTAGAATCTCCTTCTGGACACACTGAGATATGAGAATCCTCAGGAAAGCAGGGCTGTGGCATATTCTTCAGTGCAGAAATAACATATGGAAGAGTATCCAGGAACATGTACACAAAAAAGCAAACATTTTATACATTTTCCTCTCCTTCAAGACCTTCTCCACATCCATATGAAATAAGCCATACTTTATCAATAGCCAGATAAAGAAATAAGGAAATAAGTTCTGAACTAAAAAAACAACAAACAAAACAAAATATTCCAAGTAAAATATATATCTGCAAAATGATCCTTCCTTAGTTCCCATGTGAAAAAGTTTAGGCAGTTGTAGATTAGAGAAGATACAGTGTTTTAACAAGAACCACAAATTGGAAGAGCAACTTGACAAGTCATAAAACCTTAACAGATTTCTGTGGTTATTCCTGTGCAATACTATCAAACAATCTTTACCTAAGAAGATCCAATGCTTCAGAAGGGATCAGGATGATGTCAGGGCATTTTTTTTATAGGTATCTCACCCACATGGCCTCAGTGGGGATGCCTGGAGGTGTGTGTTCTAGTGATTCTGTTAGGGAGGACAGGCTCTTGTTTTACATGTATTTAAATGCTGGCTGTGGGTAACAACCGAACAAACCATGAAGACCAGCAGATTGCATTCTGAGGCACCATTCCACGAATTTTAGGTGAAGTAGAAAAAAAAATTCACTTGACTGACAAGGGCAGATTGCCTTGTATCTGCTTTACATCATGGGTTGTCAAACTAGCGCAAAAACGTTACATGTGGCTTGAAAGTTGCTGAATAATGGATTATTTTCCTGGTCTACACCTTCAGACATTTCAGATGGTTGTGGGAAACATTTATCCATGGACCCTAAAGTTCTAACTTTCAGGAAAAATGTGCAAGGAGGTCTGCTGTAGTCAAAAGCAGCAATAGAGCAGCCTAATATTTTCCAGAAAATACAGAATCATAGAATTGTTTAGGTAAGGAAAGACCTCAAAGGTCACTGAGTTCAGCCATTAAACCAGCAGCGTGTTCACCACTAACCCATGTCCTCAAGTGCCAATCCACACCTTGCTCACTTTCAGAGATGGTTAGTCCACCACTTTGGGCATTTTGTTTCAATGTCTGAAAACCCTTTCAGTGAAAAAAATTGTTCCCAACATTCAAGCTAAATCTCCATTGTGCAACTTGTGGCCTTTTCCTCTTGTCCTGACAAATACAGGATCCTTTTCTTACTCTTTATATTACCTGATCTTCTCACTTTGGCTGTCATAAGCATGTGTTATCTGTTCCAACAGTTCACGCATTTGACACCCCATTCATGGTATGGCCCAAAATAATGTAAAATTCTCCTCTAGATTAAGGAAGACCTGCAGAATGTGCTGACTATCAGCTTCTCTTCATGCTTTTCCAAAGGTGCAGTTAAATACATAAGCTTTTCCCTCACTGATAAAACTTTATTCTGGACTTACAAGCTTCCCAGGAACTTGGTTTATGGCTATTTCTTTGGTTCTAGGTGTTAAATCAATTGACAACCTTGAGGTAGGAGGGAATTGTGCTAAAATAACTGATAAGTTATTTTTGTTGTATTTCTATTGTTTCCCTAGTTAGTGTGATGAGATACCAATTTTTAGGAAATAAAAAACAAGAGTAAGCTTGTTCATAAATGCATTCATTAGAAATCCTCAAAAGAGTTGCAGATGAAAAAATAGAAATGTTTCAAATATTTGTTAAGAAATGGAAGCTTTCAACATAGTGTTGTCCAGAATAATTTGGCTTGGCTGTCTGTTCACAAACAATAATATTTTTTTGCCATGTCCAAACACCAGTATTGAGGTACTGGAGAATGAGGTTTCTGCCACAAAGAGGCAAGACTGGTATAGAGCTATTAATCAGTCAACAACTAATGTGTTTGTAGCTCTATGCCTCTTCAACCAATTCTACAAATTTATACCACAATTTTTTTGCTATAATTATGGAGTAGGAAATCAGCATGGTAACATTCCCTTGTATTGGTATCTATATCTGGTCTTACAATATTTTTATATGGACAATTAGCCTGAGGATTTCTAAATACTAAATATCTTCTTGTGAAATTTTGTGTTGTTTTGTTTTGGGTTTTTTTAAGTTGTTATTCAGGTTTTTGAATGCAGATTCTCTGCTGTAGTATGAAAAGTATTCTGAAAATATTTTAGAAATTTGAAGTTACAATAAAGGATATCATGGCTCATCCATCTGGTTCCCTTATCAGCCTGTGTTAGCTCCAAATGCTCCAGAGGAAAATGAAAAAAGACCAAAATTATCAGGAGCAGTATGTTCCAAGATACACATCATAAAACACAAGTGGATGAAATGATGCTCCAATATGTAGTTGTTGTTTTTTAGCATGAATTGCAATACTTTATTTCCATGAATTGCAATACTTTATTTCCTCAGCTGTTTTTCTTTGCACTTAATATTTAAGGCATAAAAAACTTGGCATGATGATTGCCACTTATTGTCCATTTTGTTGTGTTTTTTTTTTTTAATACTCTGAACCATGTATCTAGCAATGGCTGGCACAATATATTTGTGAAAAGGGTATGCAAAAAGGAGTAAAAAAGAGTGTAAAAAGAGTTCCAGATTCTAAAAAGGCATTTGAATACCTAGAATCATTGAATCATAGAATTTTTTAGGTTGGAAAAAAGCTTTAAAACCATTGAGTCCATTGAGATTGCCACTTCCCTATGCAGTCTGCCCCAATGCTTAATAACCCTCTCAGTGGATTGATTTTCCCTAATGTACACTCTAAAATTTGGTGCAGGTTGAGGCCATTTTCTCCTTTTAAAACCTTTTTCTTATGTTGGAGAAGAAGCTGACTCCTACATTTCTACTACCTCCTTTCAGATGGTTTAGAGAGGGGTGCGGTCACTCCTGAGCCTCCTTTGCTCCAGAGTAAACACCCCTGGCTCCCTCAGCTGTTAGTCATAACAATTTATTTTCCAGACACTTCTCCAGCTCCATTGCTCTCCTCTGGACATGCTTCAGCCCCTCAATGTCCCTCCTGTCATAAGGGCCCCAAAACTGACCCCGGGACTCAAAACTGGGCCTCAGCAGTGTGCAGGACAGGGGTACAGTCGCTGTCCTGGTTCTGCTGCCAGACCATCGCTGTCAGGTGTCATTGGCCTTCTTGGCCACCTGGGCATTCACTGGCTGCTGTTCAGCTGCTGCCAACCAGCATTTCCAGGTCCTTTCCCCACTGGGCAGCTCTCCAGACACTCTACCCCAGCCCAGAGCTGCAGAGGGGTGTTGCGAACCAAGAGCAGGATCCAGCAATTGGCCTGGCTGAACTGGTTTCAGCCCTCTATCCCATTTGCCCAAATTCCTCTGGATTTAATGAGATATAAACTGCATTCCTATTATCTTTTTCAACATCAAGTGACTCCTGTTATCTTTATTTCACCTTCAGTATCTTCTGTTTGTAGAAGGAATTTGATGCAGTGAAAAATCAGAAGTGGAAGTAGAAAATATTCTTTTGTTCTGAGATTTTTTTTTCTTTCTTTTTATACCAGGTAGAGTTGTGTATGTTCCTCGCCAAATTGCTGGGAAGGAAGGAATCTGCAATATAACAGAAAGTTAGACTTTGCATTTTAAAATAGAACCAAGGCTTCTTTGATACTTGAAGAGTATAGATTAAATGGAACGATTTTATTAAATAAACCACATACTGGAGTGCTGGGGAAGTTCAAAAAGTCACATGTGGGATTTCAGCTAATTTGGTATTTGAAATGGTAAGTTGGATATGCTTTCAAACAAAGGAAAAAGCATCTAGGCTAAACAGTATGACAAGTAAAATACAAACACTCAGTATGGTATTCCCGCCCTTAAATTTTATCTATCTAAATGTGACGTATGCATTTTAAGTTGAGCGTTAAGACACCTTGTGTACTCAGCACAGAAAGGACTTCCAGATGGACAACAAAATTCATGAACAACTAATGAATCAACAAGAAGATATCTAAGATGGGAGTGGAGAGATGAATCACTTTCTTCCAGCAACTGCTTTTCACCATTGACTACAAAGAAAGTCTGGAATCACAGTGTAAATTCGATGTCTAACACTGATAAAATTAAATGAGTCCTACCCTAAATATCTACCACCCCATAAGTTCTTTTCATTGTTGTTAATGGTTGATTTCACTTTTAGCTCTTATATACTTGCAAATTGCTCTTGCTCTCTGCTTTTCTATACATCAGGGGAATATTTATACAGAGTAAATAAATATTTTCCAAATTACAGGAAAATAATTTTACTGTGTATTTTTAAAGAGTTTACATAAAGCTCATCTAATAAATTTTATCTCTCAGTTGTTGGAATGTTAGAGGAAATACAGAAAAGGTGGATTTTTCCTTCTAACCTGTTTAGAACTGTGAACTTGCTAAACTTCTTTATTCCTTATTCACAGATATAAACCAGAATTTTCAAGGATTTGCTTTTCAGAGATTATTTCTGTCCTGAAAAAAAAAATAAAAAAAAATTCCTGTAAACAACAACCCAGAGTAAATCAACATATTCTTTGGATTTTTGATTTATAGCAATGAACTGTTTTGTGTAAATCAACTGATGATCCTCAAAGAAAGGTGCCCTGAGGCTTTAAGGCAACTGAGACTCTGCTCAGAAGCCAACTTCAAGTGAAGCAACCTGGTTGAAATATCATCTTCCCAGTTTGAGCAAGCTTTTCATTTTTAATTGAAAGTAGGAACACTGGGCTAGAATATAAAAGGCCTCTCAGTTCTCTGCCAAAGCCCCATGACACCACACATCAGCACCTTTTTTTTTCTTTATTTATCAATGAGTTAATTTACAGTTTTGGAGGGGAAATGTATAGCTGGATGTATGCCACAGCGTTCTGACGTAATATAACCCCTGGTAGCTCCCTTTGCCAGTGGTTGAACACATGCTGCTTAGTTCATGATTTAGGTTCAGCTTCAGCGTGTTATTATGATGCAAGTGAACATAAGTGAACAGTAGAGAGGATTACAGAGTAATTTAAAATGTGAATTTATATATTTATATATACATGCGTAAGAATATCTTTATTTATTTAAAAAAAAAAAAATTTTCTTTCTTGTGAAAGTTTTGGAATTCTTCTTTTCACTGGAACCCAAATAAAGTTTTTGCTGTTGTGCATATTTTCTGTAAGATTTCATGCTGGGCAAATTATATCCACAGCAGTAGAGCATCAATGAGAGGCAGGGAAGCAAACAATTTAATCACAGAAAGAATTCAGAGCAGGTATATAACCTTGTGCATTTTTCATCCCACCTGCCTGAAGGTCATTATATCTCAACTGGGAAGCACAGAAGAAACTCTGTACTGTGAGGACAGACACAGAGTTACAGAATCATTAAGGCTAGAAAAGACCTCCAAGATCACTGAGTCCAGTTATTAAGCCAATGTCACCAAAATCACCACTAAAAGATGTCCCTAATTGCCACTTCCATGTGTCTTTGAACATTTTAAGACATGGTGACTCCAAGAATGATCCAGGATAATTACCCCCAGCTCCCTCAGCTGCTCCCATTGGATGGTAACAAATGTCACCTGCAAAAGCTTTTCTTGAGCAAGAAGAAAACAAACATAAACTTGTCCAAACGAAAACTAACCAGATAAAAAATAAAATATCAGAAACCCACTAGATATCCCAGATATTGGAAGCCTACTTTCCTTTGTCTTGCTTTTGGTAAAAGTTTTAAATACAGATTTGCAGAAGTACATCCTTGATGAATTTTATCTCAAAACACCAATCATTCAACGACTTTTTAGGATGATTGTTTGGGAAATATGGAACTATTTTTTTTTTTTTTTCTGGTTGATAGTAAGTGATGCAGGTTGTAACAGATAATGGCATTAGGCTCAAACATGTTGTTCAAGTGGCCAAGACTTGCAGTCCAGTACTGAAATCCTCACATATTTTGGATGAGCAATCCTGTTTAAGCAGTAAGGGATATTTTTCTTTTAAGAAGGAAAAGTTAAAACAAATTACCAAAAACTATATTTTTTTTTAAAAAAGAGAAATTTTCCCCTTCAAAAACATATACCAATCATCAAAGAATTTGTGGAACCACAGATTTTAGTGGTTTCTTCCCATATGCCAAAAATTCAAGTGTATTGTTAAAGCTGTAATATTAAAATGAAAATAAAAAAAAACAATCTTTCTCCTGAAGCTTTTCCAAACAGTAAATACATTTATTTATCAACCTGCAGTATCAGGTATACCTGCTCCCAATGGACTCACTTAGTACCAGGAATTATTGCTGAACAAAAAGCTTATTTAATCTATTATGGGTCAGAATTTTTATCAAGCTGCTTAATTAGTGTTCGCTCCCTCTCTCTCCCTTTTTTTTTTTCACAGCTTAATGAGGAGTTTCATCACTCCTGCCAAGATGAGTCGAGTGTTTTCAAGCAGATGAGTGTGATCTAAGTAAATATGCAATATGATGTATCTTTCTTGTATTTTTCATTCAGAAGTAGGGTCAAAAGCTTTATTAGTTCAATAATGTTTCAGAGAGCTGTTTAAAACTTTTAGTAAGAACATGATAACACACACATGACCTTTATCAAGCTAGAGCCTCCTTAAAAGTTAAATTAGATGTTTAATGAAAATTAGACATGTAGGCTCCTTATAAAACTTTCAGATGTATTTATATGAAATAAACCCCATTTTTGGAATGTCTTTCATCAGGGAACTGCTTTCACATTCTAACATTTTAATTGAAATTATTTGATATCAAATGGGACAGGGAATTGGGATTAGCATCTCAGTTGTTCCAAACAATGACCTCATTTGTTATATGGAAAACATTCTTTGATGAAAATACATGAAGAAATAATAGGACTATGTTAGGGTAAACAAGTCAGCAGGGTTTTAAATAATTACTCCCCTAATTAAAAAAATATAAAAATACTGTAATCCTGACACAGCTATCTGGCATGAATAGACTACACCTAAATTATATAGGTCTGAAAAATAATAGTAGCTGAAAAGGACCTAACTTAATGGAAAGTGTCATCTGTGATCTGTGAAATAACTGTGACTTATACTTGCAGCACGGTTTCTACCCCTGTAGCCTGGATTTGCTGAAGTTTTTTGTCAGCCTGTATGGTGTGTGATCCTGCTCAGCATTGTATCCAACACTAAAAATGCAACTTTGCATTTGCTAAGTATCAAGGTTCTGGGAAGATAAACCACTGCAACCTCACCCTTGTACTGCAACAACCTACTTCAGCTGAAGTTGTTGGAAGTTTTTCCTCCCCCAGGTTTCAGCATTTCTACACATTTCCTGTAGAGCATTTTCCTTAAAACCCTAGAAGACATAAATCCACAAAGGTCTATTTATTTTGTATTTTGGTGGTGTAACCCTATTGTATGCTCATTGAGAATCTCTTCCCAAAGAATTTCTATCAACTACACACACACACACAAAATTGTGCAAGATCATGCTTTCAATGAAATCAGTGCAAATATTATTATTGACTTCAACACCAGCAGCATTTTAATCACAGAAGGTTTTTAACTCAGAGTTTCCCACTAGCTTAAGAGAATAACTCGGTGAAAAAAGATGGTAAAGTGATCAAACTTTGCAAAATCATTCACTAATTATAATATCATGTATCTTAAAAGTATAACAGACAAGTTAGGTGCATAACATCTGTAAACAAAGGAAAAAAATCTAAATATTTATGGTGAATAAATACTAATTTATTTATTAATTTTTTATTTATTTATTGTAAGTAAATACTCTCAAGATAATCATAATAGAACTTTCTGATGAAATAGCCAAGGAATATAGGTTAAAAAAAAGAAAAAAAAGCTTCATTATCCACATTTAATTTCATAGATTATCTGTAAAAAGACAGGTTGCTTTATGGGAAAGCAAAATAAGTCTTACATTTACATCATTGTTTTGTTGTTTTTTCTCTGGAAAGCACAGAGAAAAAAGGCTTTTCAGAAAGGAGAAGAAAACCATGTAGGTGAAAAACAAACTCTCTTACAGGCAATCAGATACTGTTTATAAAAGTTTCTTTCTGCAGGTGGAAAAATATTGAGCTAAACCCCCAACCTTATTGAAACAGAGTCAAGAGATTATGAATAACCAATCTCTGAGGAATCAGAAAGCATACATGGGATTTCTGTTTGAACAATGATCTAATCTGTGCTTTTATTACTTACTATTGGTAAAATCCTGGCTCTGCTAAAGTCACACTGACAAAACAATGTGATTTTGCTCCACTTTAATTGTATTTCCCTTTCAAAATATGCATGATCATTCTGGAGTTCTGGAGATGATAGAGTTTTGTTCATGTTCCCTAAATTATATGAGCCTGAATTAGTAGCAGTAAGATGTACCCCTCATTTATTTTTACTGATTCTGTAATACAGGAGCAGAAGAAAATAGAATGCATCTTATTTGGGAGATAATTGCGATGCTCTCTTAAGGTAGAGCTACACTTTTATTTCATGAAAAATACCCTTAACTCTCTGCAAATCAGCATAATACAAAAAGGCATTTTTTTTGTTTTTTTTTAATGCCATCTATTTTCTATATTCAGATTACCAAAAAGATCCAGAAAAAGAATAAAATAAGACCTATACAAATACCTTTTATAATTAGGTGAGCAGAGAGAAACCAGAGGTGTCCCATTCTAAGAAATGGGACATTCCTTAGAATAATACCCTTTCATTTTAAATAATTAAAATTTCCTATAGACCACAAAAATAATTTTAAAATCACTAAAACACATAAACATCCTTGTCTGTCTCTCCATCAATCCATTCCTCTCCCAAAAAGACCAAATTTCTCACTGTCTACACAGAATTTGTTTGATTTGAAAATTGATTACTCTGGTATAATTTAAAATGTTAAAAAAGTATTTACTCTCTAGCTATAAGTGGGACTATGCTTTAGAGCCTATGAATATATGCTTTAAATATTTAGGACGCAGGTATCCATTGATCACATGAAGTCATACCAGCAGCTGTGTTCTTTCACAGAGATGGCAGTTTCCTGATAAATTCAAATTATACAACATTCTGAAGTCTTTATGAAATTAAGAGAGCCATAAAAATGTAAGACAATCTCAGACCACTGGTCAGCCATAATGTGTTACATAAAGTCACCATCCTTATGGCAAATGCCTGTAAAAATAACACAGGTCATATCAAAGTCTTCAGTAGCTAGTGACTTTGTTTACTCCATTTCAGGTGCCAGGGTGGATGCAGTCCAGCCCAGGAAGAATGAACTGGCATAGATGGAATGACAGACATTAGGCATAAGTACTTTTTATATCAAGCCTTTGGCAAGTTACTTGTTGGAAAAATCTGTTCTCATGAACACAATCCAAAATCTGCAAGTTGTGCTACTAAGGCATATGATAACTTCTAATATCCAGGGATATGCTAATACATACCATCCTGGGATATGCCAAACCATTGCCAGGATAATGGCTCATTTCAGATGCCAGTCAAGGTCCTTTTGACAGCCTTAGGGCATTTCAGTATAAAAGCAGCTTTGACTGGGTTGTTCAGAGTAGCACATCTTTTATCTTCCCCCATCCCCCCAAACAGAAACTGTAAATAAACTTTGAATGAAAAGAGGATGGATGCATTTATTGTTCTGGCTTTGTTTGTTGGTTTTTCTCTGGGTTTGTAAGGATTTTGTTTATTTGTGCTTTTAATATCTCCACATGTTGCATCTAACAAAAAAAAATTTTACTAATATTTATAGAAAATAGTAGCAGACACCAACATAATAAATACAAACATAATAAAAAAATAAAGAGGTAGAAGTAAGGTTTTGTAGTTTGGGTTGTTTCAGAATATTAAAGCAAAAAGGTTACTGGAGAGGAAAACAACAGATTCCATGTGACTATTTGCTACACATGGACAATTTTCAATGAAATCTTAAGGTTGGTGGGATGCTTTATTCACAACGTATTAGCGAGCTCTCAGTTATTAGATTATGTACCAGATAAATTGCCTCATGTATGCCTGAAGGTGCAGGAAGTTTAATTTGTAATATTGAAATATTATTTATTTATTTAAAAATTAAATTTATAGAAAAAATTAAAAAATGCAAAAACATCTAGGAACCTGGATGGTCAATGAATTGCATGTTTTTCATAGAAAAATGATTATACAGTGTTCACAGATGAGAAGGGATAAGTGATCCTCCAGAACAACACAATTGATAGAATTTGAGTTAGGTTCAAAAGAAAATTTGGAAAAAAGAAAAAATGTGACCACAAAACACAAAGCTACTGCAGCAGGTTTTATCAGTACATTAACTAGTAATTAACCTTAATTAAATTTCATTAATATAATTTAATATTAATCAGATAATATTAAGTATTAGAGTAATATTTCTTCATATTAATTAAGATGAATTATTAAAAATTTAAATAGTTTAAAAGAATACTAAGCTGATTTATTCATTATTTAAAGATTTAGCATCAGAACTATATATTTTCCTAAAGTACACAATAGTTCTGGGCTGCTGTGAGCAACATTTATGGTCCTTCTCTTATGACTTGTAAGATGCATTAATATCTAATCAGAAGTTCAGTTGTGTACTCATACAAGTTAACCAGCTGCAGAGAAGTTGGTTTAGCCTCTGAAAATATTCACTTGCATTCTGGAAGCGTGCAGTCTACCCAAACTGAGAAGTCACCTTTTTTTTCAAGTCTAATTAAACTGATTGCAGGGACGGGCTAATGAGACTGGGATTAGGTTACCTCTTCTGAGTAATGTACTCCATAAAAAATCAATTTACCTCACAATCAGCAGCACCTTTTGTATATAACTTTAGTGTACATTTCTCAAGGAATGCAGCTTGGAATGCCTGCATAATGCAAACAAGGACCTTAGGCACTGAGTGGTTGAATGACCTTCACCAGGAGGTCTGGGGAGAAGCAAGGACCAGAACAACTTTCCCAAGTTTGACACTAGCACCTCACTCCTTGGTAATTTTTCTTTTACTTAATTTGTTTGGATTGGCACAAAGGTCTGTAGGAGAAATTTTATTGCCCACGTGGTACGAGGTTTCAGACTAGATGGCCTTTTTGTCCTTGACAGCAAGGGATGTCAAGGGAGCTATGAAAATATAGTACAGGCTTAAGACTAGAGTTTCTGTGTGTAGTTTTTAATACCCATACACTCATCAGAAGGTGAAAAACAAAATAGTAGTAAAAAACCAAGCGGTCACACAAAGTTCCTCGGATCAGTTTTATTGACCTTGTTCTTGCTCCTTGTCAGTTCCCCACATTATACAGTGAATTCTTCCCTACATCTCTGGGAAACAGAAATCTTCACAGAGATACAGCATGAAGGAGAAACACTTAATGGGCCACATTACAGCAAAATCTATTGATCTGCTTTCTTTTACTTGTAGACATGATTGAGGGCTCAAGTAATTGAATTTTCTTCTTGTAGTCTGACATTTTATTTTCTAATTTTTTTCTTTGTTCTTGGGACATGCTAAGCAAACAGACATGAGACTGAAGCAGGGGCAGCCTAGGCAAGGAGAATACTCTAGGTAAGGAGAGCTGAACTTTTTCCATCTTTCTTCCTGCAAATTTGGACCGCCATTGGGACCAAAATTGGACATTGGCACCTCCCGAGTCTTTCCGTGGAGCTGGAAAGTGGAGAAAGCGTTATTTCTTAAATTGGAATTTAATCCTGATAATCACATCACCCTTAGACAATTTCCATAATGCTTATAGAGCCAAATTTGCACTTATATCTTAGTATAGTAGATGTAGGCATCCAGCAGAAATTACATAAAGACAATTTTCTATGACCAGGAGTCACTTATCATCCTGTTACAAAGACCTTAGGCCAGAAATCCCAGACAGTTTAATGAAGTCATTTTGGAAAATCACAATATTTCAGAGTATCTTACTCTCCTTGTAATCCATTGTCAGAGGACATGATTGAAGGTCCAGAGATAGGTCAGTTATTAGCTTATCAAAAATCCCTTTCATCGCTGCTGAGGATTTATAATCAACCAAGAGACATGCAGCTGTCAGGATGCGGCCAGGAACACATGCAATGCTGGGCTGGGCAGAATACAAATGATCATATAAGATCGATCAGATGATTTTTATAAGATCAATCAGATGATTTGTCCTTGCACTTGGCTGTTCAGGGAGCATATCTACAGCCTTTGATGACGCTACCGACAATATCCAGAATTGGAAGGGGTCCACAAGAATCGTCAAAGTCCAGCTCCCAGCCCTGCAAAGAACCACAGGAATAGTGAATACATCTCATTACTTCTATCTCTCTTTCAGTTTTTTGCATTCTATCCTTTCTATTTTCTTGTTTTTTCTTCCTGATTTATTGCCTGTTATGCAGTAATTATGAGGCAATTATCAGTGAATAACACAGTAAGGCTAGAGAGAAAAAAAGAATGAAACTTTAAAGTCATCATTGATATTGTTTAGATAATTCAAGGATAAAAAAAGTTGGTTTTATTGCTGAGTGGTTTGCTTTTTTTTTTTGTTTGTGGTTTTTTGTGCAATTTTTTTTGTTTGCTTCTTTTGTTTTTGGGTGGTGGGTTTTTTGGTTTTGATGGGTTTTTTTGTTTCCTTTTGTGATCTTTTTCTGTGAGGGTTTGGTTTTGGTGGGTTGTTTTGTTTTGTTTTGTTGTTTGTCTGGGTTTTTGTTTTGGTTTGTTTTCTGCAGTTTTGTATGCTCCAGGACAAGTTTCTGATCTTTTGATGCCCTCAGGTATCTTAGTGAATTGTATTTGATATGGTCTAGGAGGAAATCTTTGTGAAATTCTTGCTGTAGTGATCACAGATGGTGAGGGTAAAGGGGCGTGTGTTATTGTCTGGATTATATTCTTCCAATCTCTTCAAAACTCATTCTCTAGAAGAAAAGGAATTTCCATTAAACTCATAGTTTTGCTGCTGTTACTCTGGGTCAATGATTTACTGCTAGAGGAACCAAAGGACTGGGGCAGATATTTTCCATGAGCAATGTAAATCCTTGTAACAGATTAAGGGAAAATTATCTTTTCTTCAAGCCTCTCTTTCATTTTTCATTTCAGTTCATAAATATAAATAATATGCTTGGTAGAACAAATAAGTGGGTATTTTTTTGACAAAACACAAATGAATTTTAAAATTCTGTCTTTGTAGGATTTTATTCAGGATCAGATATTATTCTGATGGTTTACTTCAATTAACATGAAAAAAAAAGAAAAAAAATATATCCAGTCACTTTTTGTTCACTTTATTGAACTTTTTCATTAGAAAAAGAAAGAAAACTATGACTTGATTTCTGTGCTATATCCCCACAGTCAAATTGCTCAGCGGAACCTTGACACAGAAGTCAGTTTGGTTTGCCAACAATTCTACATCATTCTACTTCTCCCAAAATACAACAAAAATCTACACTATATCATAGAGAACTGAAAATTAACTGTTTTATATGCAGGATTTACTGCTATGGGAAATATAATAATAAATCCCATTTCTTCTGTGACTTGCAGCTTCCTTAGCTCTTTTGAGCTTAACAGGACAAATTCTGTAACCTGGATAATTTTCTTACAGGAATAATTGTGTAAAGTGACTATAGATCAGAAAATAAAGATTTTTTTTCAGCAAAAGTGCTTCATATCGTATGTCTTCTGAGTCTTTTTCTTTCTTTCTTTCTTTCTTCTTTCTTTCTTTCTTTCTTTCTTTCTTTCTTTCTTTCTTTCTTTCTTTCTTTCTTTCTTTCTTTCTTTCTTTCTTTCTTTCTTTCTTTCTTTCTTTCTTTCTTTCTTCTTTCTTTCTTTTTTCTTTCTTTTTTCTTTCTTTTTCTCTCTTTCTTTTCTTTTCTTTTCTTTTCTTTTCTTTTCTTTTCTTTTCTTTTCTTTTCTTTTCTTTTCTTTTCTTTTCTTTTCTTTTCTTTTCTTTTCTTTTCTTTTCTTTTATTATATTACATCTGATAAACTGAGTATAAGGAAAATAACAATACAGAATTTAAATTTTACAACACTCCTAAGCCAGGAAGCTACAAAAACCATAAAATTTAAAGTTAAACTCACACATGAGTGCTTTCAGAAGTTAGCAGCATGCTAGGGTAACACTTTGAATTGCATTTTGAAACATTTCCACAGGTAAATGGCACAGAAGAAGATGTTACAGGATATTAAATATATTTAAATCAGAAACTGCTTCCTTTTCATTTTGGTGGAAAGACTTACGACAATATTGAAAATGAAATTGTATCCTCTTTATTTATTTAATCCAAAAGCTAATAAAGGAACTAATTTCCTAAACTAATAAGACTGAGAGTAGATAAAGTCTTTTAACCAGCCAGTACATCTCTCTCCAGTGGAGGATGGGCATGTTTTAGGGAAGGTCCTGATAAGAGGCTTTGTTAGTATGGTGAACCTTCTCTATCAGTCTCCAGATTTATAAGCCTTACTTTGTTGGTTAAGAGCATGTGTATGCACAAGGGCAATAGCATGACATTGATTTCTTTAGGAGCTCCTCTCCAAAATCAATGGAAAACTGTGTTTAAAAATTGAAGGTACGTTATGGTGTTAGAATGCAATATCTTATGACCTGATCCAAAAGACCCTTAGGTTAAGTTTCATCATCTGGAGTTTAGACA